TTTAATTGGATTGTAGTTTGTTTACTGGCTTGTACTGACTAACTCTATTTTTTTTACTGGCTTGTACTGACTAACTCTAGTTTTTTTTAACTGGCTTGTACTGACTAACTCTAGTTTGTTTACTGGCTTGTACTGACTAACTCTAGTAAAGAGTTTTGTTGGTGGAAGTGGACCTACTCCTCCTGGATGGCCACGTCTGGGACCCACAGCTTGGACAGCGGCATCGTCAGCATGTCTATCCCACAAAAGTCCGAAGGATTCCACGTCAGGAGTTCATTCTTCCATCTCTGGGGAAGTTTAAAAGCTTAAGAGTCAATAAAATCTTCCTCAGTGTGAAACCTGAAGGCAGAACTCACCTTCTGAGTCCAGATGTAGTTCGTTACAGTCTGGAGCTTCTCGTCCTGCAGAAAATCAGCAGAAATTTGCTGAAAGTTCAGGCAGATTTACAATAAAAGCAGATAATTATCTGAAGTTGTACCAGTTTCTATTAATCCAACTTTTATTTAGATTCCTGTGAACGAATGTCTTTTGTTTAAAACTGAAACGCAAACCAAAATTTATTTAACCTCCTGAGACCCGAGCTTTTATTTGGCATGCATTTTAGCTTTTTTTTTAAAGATATATGAGATACATATTTAATTAAATGTTTTTACAATTTTGTTCTGACAGTCCCATTGACTCATTTACAGTTTTTCTATTACACAATAAGAACATGATTGGATGGAAATGTATAAAACCATTTTACTTTAGATTTCAAACAGTGTCTGATAGCATCTGCTATGAGGTCAAGAGGTCAAAGCTGAAAGAAAAAAAGAAGTATCATGGTAAAGAGAGACAAAAATGCAACGTCCTCTTATGAGGACACAGGGTCTCAGGAGGTTAAACATTCTCAGACCCGAGAAACAAAAAGAGAAAAGAAACCAGAGGACCAAATACAGAAGATTGAATGTGATGAGAATACTTCGCATTCAGGATAAAAACAAGTAAGTAAACAATACTTATACATGTGTTTCTATTATTTTCTTATATCTTTATGGATGGCTGGACGATAGATAGATAGATAGATAGATAGATAGATAGATAGATAGATAGAT